CAACTGCTATATAAACACTGATTATAAGCTGACTCCATTTAAAGACAATGATATACTTATCTGTTTACTCATACATTATGAAACTGACCTTCCTGAATTGCACTATGCCAAGTCCATTCTCTCAGTAGGGGTGCATTTTCTATTCCCTATTCGCCTACATGTTTTCTGTAGGCGAAATGGGATGTAGGCAAAATGGGACTCAACCCAGCTACCTTATGAAGTATGTCAATAATCAAGTGTGGACCAAACAATCTAGCCAGGGGCATAGCTACCATTATAAAAAAAGCCCAGGCCTACACATGATTGTTGCTAAAAAGGTTGGGCAAACCCTCAATACTATCTGAATATAAAGCTTTGCAACCTATCGGGCTTACACGAAGAAACTGGCTTGCTACGCGCCTGCTAGAGATTAAGAAAGGTAGGGTAAGGTCCAGTGATTGACATCACGAGCACCAGTCTATGCAATAGGGAAGCAATGACACCCTTCAACCAAGTTGTCAAGCCTGGCCACACAATCTTCTTGCCTGTTACAACAGGTGGATGAAGAACATTTTTTTACCTGGATCTTCATGAGGATGGAGAGAAACAAATGAAAACATTAAATAAAATATTGTGAACTTATACATAATATAAATTTGTTTTCTTTGAAACATACAATATTTTGTACTTTCTAAAGAAAAAGGAAGTCTGTGTGAAGACACAAGTATATATCTAGGGTTTTTAACTAAGTGTAGTAGACAGGCACACTGGCAAATAATTGTTATGGAAGCTGCACTGGCTGGGTGGGTTAGATGGCTGACTTTGTGTGCTGGTGATTTGGTGCCTGACTCAGAGAGCGTTGTTTTCGAGTGTCGGATGAGACTCAACCAAACAAAACTACTAGAATCAATACTTTACTGAGAATGTGTAATTCCAAATATAACATGTGTTACATTCAACCTCTTTCTAAATGGTAATGTGTATTCAAATAATTGTTAATTTGTAACAAGTCATTATTTTGCAGAAGTTGTTATCGTCGTAATGTCAGAGGTATATAAATATTGCATCAACGACTCTTCCATGTTATTGTTCCTCTCGTCCGTGCAGGGCAAGTCACGTGAACAAAGCCATCACCTTCACCTCACTTTAACATTGTAAATTAGGATGCTAGTATGTGCCGATCACATTAAGGATTTGTCTGAAACATTTGGCCCTAGATAAATCCCTGAGATATAATACTGAAAATTACAAACTAATAGACAAACATTCTACACAATATCACCTCTACATTCATCTCACAAAACTTTGTAAAACCTTTCAAAACATTAAATTCTGAATGTAATATAGTAAAATGTGTGCTTTTTAAAATTTTATGCTGTCACATTTCAAAGGAATTCCTTGGACTGGCAATCTTTTGAAAACATTCAATACAGAATGTAATGTAGTAAAATGTGTTGTTGTTTTTTAATTTTATGCTCTCGCACATTTGAAAGAAATTCCTAGAACTGGTAAACTTTTTAAGATATTCAATCCTGAATGTACTGTAGCAAAATGTGTGTTTTTTACATTTTATGCTGTCACATTTCAAAGAAATTTCTAGGACTCACCGATGGCATTCTTCTCTTCTGTTCTAAAATTACAGTCTGGAAAACATGAAGACAGTCACAGTCAGAATCTTAAACCGTTGAACCTAATACAGGTGGAGGAATTTCTTATCAAATAATGTTTACTCTACCCAAGACTTGATCTGTTGTAGAGACTCCTTAACTACCACATACCCAGTGATAAATAACAGACTTTAAACAATGCTATCAGTTTAGCAGTAATATACAAGAATGTCTGTATTCAAATGTATGGTCTTTAAAGCCATAACAAATTGTTAATAGATTTCATTAATGCATGCCCCATTTCATTGCCCCACTACCAAACATCAGACTACCTTATTGTCCCCAAGCACCTGTGAATGAAGGAAATCAGTGTTTGTTCATTTCCTGATTTATACATATAGTGAAATACACCACACATACAATCACCTCCATGACCTGGAGGATAGAGCATCTGACACAGTGTGTGAAATAGACACTGGCCCGCTAGTCCGTGGCTAGTATAAATCCAGTCGGGCCAGTAAATCTCCAGTCACTGGCCCGACTAGCTAGTGAATTTTCATGGCATCATTTTGTAAATATATAGTATATCACTCTCTCCAACTTGTTAAGTTATAATACACTTATAAATCATGCAGGATTATGGCCTGATAAAAACGTTCATCATATCAGCAGCTTAGTGATGAAACCTGTGTCATGCCGACAATATCTTATTCTCATCTATTTTTGTAATCTTTTGCTTAGTTTCTACATTCAAATTTCGGGCTAGTGAATTATCTTGTGGGCAAGTAACCTTCAGGCTTAGTACCGGTGTAGCCCGACTGGCTGGCAAAATAAACTATTTTACACACTGCTCTGACCTGATGTTAATGCTGGGGTTCTGGTTAAAGACAGATCATTTATTCTGTTAATGCAATGAGGAGGTTGGAGATTATATAATCGGTGGGATGGGGTTCTGTGTGTGGGTGAGAATAGAGGAGTGGGTTGTATGTGTGTGGGGTAGTGGTTGTGTGTGGGTTGGAAAACAAGTGGTTTCTGTTGTTGCTGCTGATATTGCTAAAAGTGACATAAAACCAAACAATCCTTCACTCACTGAACTGCAAGCTTTGGTGAAGGGACTACTATTGCTTAGAAACAGATAGTGAGTGAATTGTCGAGTCTGGACCAGACAAACCAGTGACTGAAAGTATGACCATCAACCTACACAGTCTCAACACCTGACCACCTGATCCACAACCAGTACATTGCTGAGGTGAAATAGGGTTTAAAGTTGTGTTCAAGGTTATGGTACTCAAGATCATTACACATTCATACAGTGACTTGCAGGCATGTGCTTGTGTGGCTGCTTGATGTAGTATATTCCAATGGTAGTCCATCTAGACGCCATGCAGAAGTTAAACATGGACACCCCACTTGAACACAGTATACTGACTCAAGATCTTGTTTTATCCTCTCAAGGCCAAACTCAAGGCAGGTTCGGTATGAAGTGACCTGGAATCAAACCTCTACCTTCTCTCTTGTGGGAAACTCTCTATCCACTACATCATGAATCAGTCAGTCAACTACAGACAAGCCTGGGTTACTGAGAACAGCAATAGGCTTCCAACCAGGAACAGGCATGACACATTGTACCCAGATATTTTGGTATGAAAAACTTGACTACCCTATGGACCATCAAGTTTGAGTACTGCTATGATTGATACATATGAACACAGGGTCAGATTGCTTGGGAGAAGATGGGTTAAATGGATCTGTTTGTTGTTTAATGTCACACTCATCACTATTCCAGCCATATGATGGCATCCATTGAATACATGAGTCTGGACCAGACAATCCAGTGATCGACATCATCAGCATCCATCTACACAGTTGGGATACTGACATGCATCAACAGAGGGCCTGACCACCCGATCCCATTAGTCACCTCTTAAACCGAGCATAGGTGGATAAAGACCAATTCTAATACAGATCTAGGCCATTGAAATAAAATAAAAGCTTTGTTAGGGATGTTGTTTATTCATCTGAAAGTTTGAGTTTGATCTGTTCGTCTAAAAGGTCTTTGAAATATATATTTTGACAGCAGCACTAGGTTGTTAGATGTCATAGCAAGCTTTGCAATCAATGGAAAAGGAAAAGAAATGAAACAAGCATTCTTGTATTGATAGCTAGACCTTCAGCAGGTCACGTCTATGTGAAGCTCTGAGCTTTATCAATCTGAAACAATTACAGTCTTAGCAGTAAACTTGAATCTATAAACACTACTGTTGTCTGTTTAGTGAATTTCCAGTATATTTGACATTTGCGGTTATGCTGTTGTTCTTAGCATGAATACACACCCAATCCAGAAGTAATCTTATGAAATACTCTCAGATTTGGCACCAAATAAAATAATATATTTTCTGATATTATTTCATTAGATTCTTCAAACATTCTCTTAAATTGTGCAGTCACATTTACAAATGTATCCAGTTTATCAGCATTGACTATTCATTCAGTCATGTGTTATTCAGGTGTGTGATATATGTTATTGTTGTAATGGGATGCTGCATACTATGTCTACTGTAGTAGTATAACGAAACCAGTGTCATCAAACTGGGGGCATTTTGTTTGATACAGAATATTTCACATGAATATGGAAAAGAGACAAATTCGCTCCACTGCTTCAAAACACACAGTTCTCTTCCCAGCTACGCAGACAAGTATTTGTAAAACTGTTTTACTTATTATTATTTTTGGTTCAGATAAACCCTAAACCCCATTCAGTGCTTGTTCCGCGACCACGAACCTGTTTGAAAAGACCGCCGTCGAAGTTTGGCAAAACTATTTGTTCAACGACTAGTTCCAATTAATTTGTAGTAAAAAAGCCTTCGGTTGAAACCTTTGCTGTGCCACGGGACAAGATTATCAACCCTGATTTGTCTAAAAACCCTGCGAGATTCTTCTTTTTTGTATGCTTAAAACTATTTTATCCTAAAAAATTCGTTACACACATAAAGTGGTAACTTGGTAAAACTCGGCTGAAATATCTTTGAATGATACACGTGCTTCAACATCATACTCATCCAAATTTGTATTCACTTGCCCCATCATCGCATGTACACATTTCCCACGTGAAACGCAATGTAGAGTGGTGATTATGTGCCACATTATTTGCCACAGAAATGAAGATTAAACATCAGTCAACTGAAAATATATAAAATGTCAAATGTCAGTAGGCGTTCATAACCCCGATAGCTTCACACAAGTGAGATCCCTCAGATCCCTCTGGTATGCACTTTCTGTTATTTTGGATATAATATATGTCGGCTGTGTTTTTAAACATGTATACGATGTTTGAGGATGAATTATATGCATGATGTTTAAACTGTTTATTTCTCAATTCCGATACACCGACTCTCACTTTCTATTTTCGCATGTTAGGAAGAATATCTGCTGAGCGGGAAGCAGTATTTATGTCAGTCACGCGCAATCTCGTTGTCCTCTCGTTCATCCTTTTTACAGGAAGTAGCACACAGTACCCGTGGTACGATATGAGCTCTATTTTAATCCATTCAATCAACACTTCCAAATAATAAGAAAACACATCCATGATAGCAGGATAGATTGCAAAGACTCATTACTTGATGGATTTACTCATATTTCAATCCCAAAACTTTCCGATTGTGAAATATCGTCATATTTGTTGACCGAGTTAACGTCATCATATGTTCATAGGGTATAAGGCGTTTCTAACTTGTGTATTATGGAATGCGTGTTGAATTTTTGCTTAGTATTTATCGACATTTGAAAGAGCACCACAACGTATGAATCAAGCAACGTCCGGTTTTGGTTTTATGGTATCAGGGCAGCCACATGAAGTAAACTTATGAATTTTAAAAGTGGCACCGGTCCACTCGGATGAGATAACCGTAGCCTTCGTTTATATACTGAATATGTTGAGTATTGAACCACATATGTATGATAAGATCAATAAGTCTCACGTTTTGGGCCCTACCTTTTGTTAACCACAATTTAAACAAGCACATGATTAAAACTGGAGATGTGATAATAACCTCCCTGAACAACATTCGTACACATCACACCTCAATCCGTGGGACATTCATTATATCAGTCACTGATTTGTCTGGCAGCTGTGTGATCATCACACAGCAGTAATATTGCTGAGGGTAAGGGTGTCACAGAAAAAAAAAATCATTAGCACTCAAACATGAATTAGGAAAGAACTGACATACTAAATACAGTACATGTTGTCAGTGATGTATGACGGACTAAGTCCAGTGGAAATTATATTTACTCCTAACTGACATTTCTTTAAATTAAATATGCATGACATTGTTCCTTCCTCCAGATCATTAATCTGCCATCATGGGGGCCTACAAGTATATGCAGGAGATGTACCGCAAGAAGCAGAGTGATGTGCTGAGATTCCTGCTGCGTGTGAGATGTTGGCAGTACCGCCAGCTCTCCGCCATTCACCGTGCTCCTCGCCCCACCAGACCCGACAAGGCAAGAAGGCTTGGGTACAGGGCCAAGCAAGGTGAGGAATAAACAACCACAATCATTTTTAGTCTTTTTTTATTTAATTACAGAGACATTCTCTGTCCTTTGCAATGTGCATGTTAGATTTCCATGGTTATGGTTTGGGGTTTGAATTTCTGACTGAAATCCAACTTAGGCTGCAGGTTCGAACACTAAATCAGAATTCCTATTAGTCTTGTAAGATCAACTCAAATGAGTCCACATGTCAGTTTGATACTTCAATAAAGTCTATTGAATATAATGCCAAGATCAAAGTTCTGACTAACAGATAAAAGGATAATTTTGGCACACTTTGTTGTTGGTTTGTCTGCACCAAATTTGTGCTAATCATTTACACCAAGGCAGTTTTTGTTGAAGACAATTCTTGTGTGTTACAACATGCTGTTCTTTATGTTGAATTCTGTATGTAATGTACACACTTAGAATGGCTGAAATAAAACTAAAAATCATAACTTATATACTTAGATGTTTGATTGGAACATTAGAAAATGTTATTTGATGAACATAGAGAATTTTTTGGGTTTCATCATTTTTATTGTTTGTGCTAATCAATTGCACCAAGGCAGTATTTGTATAAAAAAAATGAAACCCCCTAAAATTCTCTGTTCGTTATATACTTATTACAGTTTGACTGGATCATGAAATCAGTAAATTTTTACATTTGCTTGGTTAATTGATCAATTAAAAAATGACAACCAAATTAATTGTTTTCAGGCTATGTTATCTACCGTGTACGAGTCCGCCGTGGTGGCCGCAAGCGCCCAGTGCCCAAGGGATGTACCTATGGCAAACCCGTCACCCATGGTGTCAACCAGCTCAAGTTTGCACGATCTCTCAGAAGTGTTGCTGAGGTATGTCAAATGTTTCTACGTCAATACCTTACCAAAGGTGACACACAGACAAGGGTTGTTAAGGCCAAGATGTGTACATGTCTTATACTTTGTGTAATATAACAAAACTAGATGGGAGGGAGGGGGTGGGAAGGGAAACCAAAGTGCCCATTTGATATGGTGTGGATACCAGCCAAGGGGAGACAACTTTCCTTTACCTCCCTTTGCATGTAGTCACTCTCCTACCCAGATTTCCATGCGGCAAGCCAGCATAGTACCTCTGCCACAGGCAAGAAAGATGTGACAATTCCTCACATCTTGCATCCTCCATTCAATATAATGTACATATTTCTTAACTTTTATTTTTGACGGGTCTAAACATCTAATTAAATATGTTTGATAGAATGGTTTAGTTTAATTGAGAAAATATCCTAAAACATGTAACACTATTTCGATTTGCGTAGCGATCCTTTGTTTACATAGGTTGTATGGCTCCATGTGCTGTCATCAAAGTCGACAGAGCAAATGATGCAGCCAGCATGATATCTAAATATGTACTGTCATAAACCTTACTGTCCTAGTTGTGGAAGACTATGTAACAATGTAAATCATTGTGAAGAGCGCGCCGAAAAGCTTACGTAAGGCCAGTCTGTTCTTCTTATGAATATGCCCGTTTGTTTACAAGAGAAAAAGTCCAGTCGCGTGATGTGCAAATTAGCCTGTGGCAGTGATGTTATGCTAAGTCATCGCTGTGCTGGAGTGTGGCATGTAGTGATTTTTACTTGTAAAGGCCGCCATGAACATCCTGACCCATGGTGGTTTACTTGGCTTGACACTGTTATACTTGAAATATACTTGAAAAGCATCAACATTAGATTGTGGTGATCTACATTTGTATGTCCGAGTTCAGAGCCACACATGGTGGTATTCCAGCTGCTGAACGGTAAATGTCAAGATCCAACAGTTGTCCTTGATTCAGATCCCACAGGAGACTTCCATATATTTTCAAACACTGCCTGTCATCTATGTGTTAGTACAACAATTTGCAATATATGCTTCTCTGAACAAGGCTTAGCAGTGCACTTATGCACCGGCAAATTATAAATTTTCGACATATGTCCCCTCCCTAACTCTGGATCATGTCTTGTTTCAGGAGCGTGTTGGTCGCAAGTGTGGAGGACTCAGGGTGTTGAACTCATACTGGGTGGCAGAAGACTCCACATACAAGTTCTTCGAGGTGATCTTGGTTGACCCAGCCAACAAAACAATCCGTCGCGATCCCGAAAGCAACTGGCTGTGTCGTGCTGTTCACAAGCACCGCGAGCTGCGTGGACTCACTTCTGCTGGGCGTTCTTCACTCGTGGTCTAGGAAAGGGACACAAGTTCACCAAGACAAATGGTGGCTCTCGTCGTGCTTACATGATCAAGCACAATTCACTCAGTCTTCGCAGAAAGCGTAAATTTTTTCATCGGCTTGTATGTCATCTACAGTCGACAATAAAAAAATGCTCTGCCAAATACTTTGTTTGTCATAGTTGATCCATAAGATTCAACGTGTCATAGACTGCCTCCGTGGTGTAGTGGTTAGAGCGTCCGCCCAGTGAGCGGAAGGTCGCGGGTTCGATCCTCAATCTCATACCAAAAGACGTTAAAATATGGTACTTGTTGGTCCCTGCCTGGCGCGCGGCATTAATGGGTACAACAAGGACTGGTCGGCTCGGAGTCAGTATAATGTGTCTGAGTGGGGTATTCATGCTTCACTGCGGCATGGTATCTCAGTGGGCTAGCACTATAAAACCAGCTTCAGTCTGGGCTAGTACAAGCAGCCACACATACGTACACACGCATGCACGTCGTCATATGAGCGCAGTATTCTCAAGCACGACGTTAAACCCAATTTCACCTCACCTCATCTCAAAGTGTCATATCTTTGTTCCTATGGTGATCATAGGTCGCTAATTAAATACCAATAGATAATCACAAGGACTAATCAGTTAACTGTGTCAATACTTTCTGATGACGTAAGATGAAGTCTCTGTAGTAGTGGTTTGAGCGTCTGCCCGTGTCATACCAAAAGACGTAAAAATATGGTACCTGTTGGTACCTGCCTGGTGCTTGGCATTTATGAGTACAGCAAGGACTGGTCGGCTCTGAGTCCGTATAATGTGTCTGAGTGGGATATTCATGCGGCATGGTATCTCAGTGAGCTAGCAATATAAAACCAGCTTAAGTCAGGTTAGTACAAGCAGCCACACATACACACACATGCACGCCGTCATATTATCGAAATATTCTCAGGTACGATGTTAAACCCCATTTCAACTCTCCTTCACTTTCTAAGCAGTGGGTTTATCAATGTTGTAAATGTCTGAGGCCTGCATCAACCCTGGTTTTCCTCCTCCGCCAAGCTGTCCGTGATATATCTGAAATACCAAGTTCACTGACTTCTTTATCAAGATGTCCATTTTTGCTGAGAGTTTAAAATGCTGAAACCTGTTGGCCAGGACAAACCAATTATGGATAATTGGGCATTGCAGTTTACTTACAGCATGTGCTCCAAGACTTGCTCAGAAAATGGATGAAGACTTGCATGCTATCCAAGTCTTATCAGCAGTAATACACTCTCCACCAGTTGAGTTCCAGGGTTCTATGAATGTGCCTGTAGGGATCCGCTAGGCTTGGAATGGGTGCCCAAGACTGTATTGTGCAAGTGGTAAGGCGAGTCCACAAAGTAGGGTCCAATCCCTTGGTGTTGAACATACCTCGTTACAAGCTGCAGTTATATATAACTGGAAAATATCCGAGTAAAGTGTAAAACAAACAATTTTAAAATGATGGAATGGTTACTGTTTGCTCTCAGTCCATCTGATCTTTCACTTGCTGTAAACATGAAATACTTCATAACATAGTAGTCCTAGGCCAAATGTTAGAAAAGTCCCTATCTTTTAGGATCTCTCAGCAGCAGTAAAAGCGTTATCCAGTAATTGGTATGACAACTCCCACCCTCCAGAGATTCTTGTCAATGTGGAACTAGACACAGAATGTATCAGGTTGCTGAAAACAAACAAGGATTACCCGCTGTTGAAACAGTGTCCACATGTTCATAGACCAACTGCATGAGTATTAACCGCATGGTTTAATGGACGGTGACAAGCACTGATGTTCAACATGGTCAGGATATGCAGTATGGGTGATAAGGCCTGGTGTATCATATTACCTGATAATGATGTTATCTCTACATTTGGCCTAGGAGTTATAGTTCTGAACCAATTCTGTGTGGTGTCTGAGGGAAGGGCTCCCAGCTGGCCATAGATACAACTTTATGTTTCATACCTGTATTTATGTTGTACAATATGATGTAAACTTGTACCTCTAATTCCGCAGAACGCGGCCGGAGTGAAAATAAAGTTCAGTTCAGATAGAAATCATTGATATCTTTAATTGTTAACTAAATATCAATTTATTGGCAATATAGATTGTAGATGTAACTGAGCATGAAAATGAAAAAGGATCTGAACAAATATACAAATTTCATGTGCCTTTCATCATAATAGTTTACGTAAGATATGGTCAAGGAAATGGTTTTCATATTGATCATCGTTAATAATTCTACCTATTGATTGTTTCCGATTATGCACTTTTGTCGACAACCCAACTATGAGGTAACAAATGCATTCGCAACTCCAAGGTTAGAATTACACGGGTCAAAGTTCATTTATAGGCCTCTGGCTAAATACAAATAGTAACACAGTATACATCCAATACAGGGGTGTTTTATTGCACCTTGACGACAATGTTAGTACCTGAGATGCAGTAGTTTGCCAGAGAATTACAAGTTCGTTGGGGCACACAGCCTCAGTCTTTAAATAATCGAGTTGGGACCAGACAATCCAGTGATCAACATCATGAGCATCATCTATGCAGCTGGGATTAGATGAGGTGTTAATCTAGTCAGCAAGCCTGACCACCTGAAACCGTTAGCCTCCTCTTTCGACAAGCATGGGTTACTGAAGATCAATTCTAACCGGGATCTTCATGGGTTACAGTTATCAAGAATTGCAGCAGTGGTTAGAAACTATCAAATACAATCAGAAGAAGTTGTGACAAGTTGGTTTATAATTAACTGAGGTCTGATGGATTAGTGGCGGATTTGAAGTGTTGTGCATGTGTAATAAAGATAAATTTGTAACAGTATTTTTGTAGCTACAGCTGTGGCCAGTCAAATTAGGCTTCAGTAATGTAGGGATAAAATTATATGGGTAACAAAATATAAAGGATATAAATAATAAAATGAAAAGTTTTGTTGGAATTGTATTGTTTCACATAAAGGCACCTGCTTGGATTATGAAAGGCACCTGAGTTTGTTTTGGATTCCATGGATTATGAATAAATGAATTCTAATGGTATGAGTGAATATATAGTGAATATATTTCAAACTTAAGTATTATGTGCAAAGATGTTTATTTTGCCAGATTAAAAGTTAAATAATTCAAAATATATTTCATACATGACGTGTAATGTAATGAATGTTACAAAAAACCACTTCTTGTTTTTGTTAGCAAAATAAGGTCCCACCGAGATTTGAACTCGGATCGCTGGATTCAAAGTCCAGAGTGCTAACCATTACACCATGGGACCCTTCCTGAAATGGCGGGAGATTATATACGGCCTGTAGCTTGCATGGTAATCCATGCTTGTTACTTTATTTAGCAACCAATCAAAACGTCACAATTGTTGAGTATTTATTTACACTTTCAAGGCTCCAAACAGCTGTTGTGACGGTGTGATGTCGACATTTTTCAAACTGTGAAGTACGCCTGTCCTTAATATTTTGAAGATATGATGTGTTGATGAATTCAACCGAAAAGATGACATCATATGCCGTGGGTATGTATATGTTTTGACAATGTACATGAACAATTACCTTGATTTTCAGAGCTAGTAACACTGACAGCCTCCTAACATCGCATGATGATGCACATGTTTCAAATCGATCGTCACTCTCGTCCCAGAGTGAGGTGATATGTTAACAGCTCTGGTAAGGAGACGATTATCTTACCGATTTTCATAATATAGCTTGAGTTATGAAAGTAAAGAAAGCTGTGAAGACCGGGCGTCATTTTTTTAAAACGAACGGTGAAGAAGCGAATCCAAGCCGGTGAACCGAAAACGGAAGAGGCCCTGTTCAGGTTTTAAAATGTCGTGTTAGTACGTTTGAGACAAATTGGGGATTTTTTTGTGAAGTAAATATATTCCTTTGCCCCTTTATTTAAAATATATTTTAATTTATGGTTTGCATTGTGTAAATCAGTTATGAGTAAATATGCGACTCATAAGGTCCTTGTGTGATGTGACAGCCCAGGCAAAGTTTATTTATAACTTTATCTTTTGAAAGTTGATAGTATCACATGGAAAAACCAAACACTTTTTCACCTTCATTTTAAGTTGGACAAATTATTTGCCATAACATGGCATGTGTGAATGCACAGCTGGGTATATCATATAATGATTATCAGACATTCCTGACATTTAATTAACCCAATGTGAGGCTTCTTAATTTTCCGCACAAATTGCTTCCATGTATTGCTAACCAGGTAAGGGATCTATAGCTAGCTATTTAAACGTTGTCATGACCTCTGTTGAGAGTGAACTATGGGTGAAGGGGTCGTTGTCAGCACATGTATACAGAAACATACCCCAGCCAAATCAGAATACAGAAACGTACCCAAGGATGATTCCATTCTGCATTGTGTCATTTTCTTGATCGGAACTGTCATACTGTTTCATTAGATGCATTTGATTGCATTATATAAGACACACTAACAAATATTTTAAAATATAATTTGCGACACACAATACAACCCGCAGTCAGTTGACTGGTCACAGCTACATACAGTTTCGGTTTTGGGTTGTGGAATATGAACTCCTCAGTCATTTAGGGTACAGGGTACGTGTCTGTAGTTTGACTTTGTTTAGGGTACATTTAGGGTATGTTTGTATACAGAAACGCACCTGGAGTACATAATCTGTAGTACCTGTCGACAACGACCCCTTCGGCTGAACTATGTCCTAGCATTTACAATGTCATCTCATTTTATTCATTTCACACTGAGCAATCAATCATATATGTACATGTACCTGCTCTGTTGCACTTTGTAACAGCTCTGTGTCGAGATATTGTGTATGGGGAAGGCGTAATCACTGTTTCAGTATAATGATCTATTAACTGAACAGTTTAATAACCAAATAATTTAATACCTTGAATTGCTCACAGGGCTGTTCCGTGGACAATTAGCATTGGAGCCATGTGTTACTCTTGTACACAGATTATACAGCTTGCATGAATGTCTGCAGCTGTAGACTGGGTTTGTGGAGTCCCGTTGGTTTATGTCACATTGTATTAATGGTTATATTACAGTACATTGTTAAGCATGGAATGGATAGGGCTGTGTATCAGCAAAGAAAATGTTTTGCAATATATTTCAATGTATTGTGATGTAGTATGGCGATATATTGGGAGCTAATGTGTAGTAGATGAGTGACACTGACTCTACATAGTTGGTTCATGTACTGTTAAACGCCCCACTCAGCAATATTCCAGCTATATGGCGGCGGTCTGAAAATAATCAAGACTTGACCGGGCATTCCAGTGATTGACATCATGATAATTCAAATACGCAATTGGGATAAGATTACTAATGGGATTGGGTGGACAGGCTTGCTGACGTACAGGTCCCTGACTGGTGATGTGTGGCACTGTGTTTTTACAAATTGTTGGACATAAAGACAATAGAATGTGCAGACCTCTGTTCAGAGTGAGTGAGTATGGCTTTGCACTGCTTTTAGCAATATTCCAGCAATATTGCGGTGGGGGACACCAGAAATGGGTTTCATACATTATACCCATGTGGGGAATCAAACCAGAGTCTCCGGCATGACGGGCGAATGCTTTAACCACTAGGCTACCCCTCTGTTCAGAGCACTTACCAACAAATAGGAAGCATAGACCGCTGTTAAGAGCACTTACCAACCAATAGATAGCACAAACCTCTGTTCAGAGCACTTACCAACCAACAGACCTCTGCTCAGAGCACCTACCAACCAATAGGTAGCATAGACCTCTGTTCAGAGCACTTACCAACCAATAGGTGGTTCATACCTCTGTTCAGAGCACTTGCCAACCAATAGGTAGCATAGACCTCTGTTAAGAGCACTTACCATTATACCAAACAATATGTAGCACCAACCTATGTTCAGAGCACTTACCAACCAATAGGTAGCACCAACCTCTGTTCAGAGCACTTACCAACCAATAGGTAGCACAGACCTCTGTTCAGAGCACTTACCAACCAATAGATAGTGCAGACCTCTGTTCAGAGCACTTACCAACCAATAGATAGTGCAGACCTCTGTTCAGAGCACTTACCAGCCAATAGGCAGTGCAGACCTCTGTTCATAGCTCTTACCAACCAATAGATAGTGCAGACCTCTGTTCATAGCTCTTACCAACCAATAGGTAGCGCGGAAATTTTTAAAGTAAATCTAATGTAATATTTATGGTTGATTTTTTCTATTTGTTTTAAATGTGTATATTTGGAAGACTGAAACAGTAAACTACTACAACAATGACAACACGTATATTGACAGATAAATGCACTGTGTTTTGGGTCCAGCTTATTTGCTGAATGTTTTAGTCCAAATATGTATGAAAAACTACAATTTTAGGCTTGTATAACACTTATTTCTTATCAGTAGCAATGTGAATATTCTAAAATTCCTATGGGTGCACATTTATTGATAATTTTTAAACAGGTAGATAAATATTGACACTGACAGCTAATAATTAGAACTGCATAATAAATGATTTATAATTATTTCATTTTTTGTTATTTTGCTGCAAATCTTGCTGATAAATCAACCTTATTGATGTGGGTAGCAGTGAGCTACAGAGAGTTACCATGATACCCACCAGAGGTATTACTAACAAGCACCTGTGCAAACTGTCTATTGAATTGACGAATCAATAGTGAACACAGGCTGAATCAGTTTACAGATATGTGCCTTCCTGCTTATTGTACACTGTATGCGTTATTGCAGCTGAGGTTCTCTTGAGGTTGTGAATAACTCCGCTGATCACCTGTTTCAGTGGGGGCGGCCATCTTCAATATACCTGGCAATGGTTTTGTTCAGAATGATTTAGATTGATTTATTACCATGTTGTGTTGTCTGTTGTTGACATTGTAACGTATTGTACAGGCCATTGTTTGCCATAGGAAATTATTTTACTCATTTCTTGTTACAGTTATCAAGTGAGTGAGTTTAGTTTTACGCAGCACTCAGTAATATTCCAGCTATATGGCGGCTGTGTGTTAATAATCAAGTCTGGAACAGACAATCCAGTGATCAACAGCATGATCATTGATATACGCAATTGGGATGCGATGACATGTGTCAACCAAGTCAGCGAGCCCAACCACCTGATCCCGTTAGTCGCCTCTTACGACAAGCATGGGTTTCTAAAGATCAATTCTAACTCAGATCTTCATGGGTTACAGTTATCAAGAATTGCAGCAAATTGAAACTATTAAATACAATCAGAAGAATCACAGAACATGTTAAGTTCTAGTGGTACCGTTAATCTAGATAATATACTTAAGATGCAAATGGGCGATGATGGCTTGAGAACAGTGTGGTTTAACATTGTCATCCATGAACATTGGAATTAGGGGACTGTCATCATGGTCATTCATTTTCCTTGGTCTTCCAAGTCTTGGGCAAGCCACATTATCAACTTGGCATCATGTATTTTCTGAAGGTCAAGGTCTTGGCAGATCAATAAAAGTTAATTTGTAGTACTTGTCATGTCTAGTTTCAAATCAGTTCAGAAAACTGTAGTGCACATACTGTAATCGTATATATTTTCACGGGGTTCAATTTTTGCGGGAAGTTCACAAAAGACCTGTTGGCGCAGTTGTTTTTTCGCGCATTTCAAACACCTGAGTGATGGTGTCCGTGACAAAGTTTTCACAACCGATAGACATGCAATGATCAAAGCTAGCTGCCATAATTGAATCGTGTTTACTAAAACAATCAGAGAGAGGTGGGATTATACTTGTGTCAACACTGCGATTTGTGACTGACGTAAGTGAGCTTCATTCATTTTGTGATTACGAGTAATCATTTAACTGACAAACTGATAACAAACATTTGCTGATTGTGGTTGCTATTACTAGTATATGCCTCTATTCCTTTATGTATTGTTTTGATGTTGTTATCTGAGAGGATAAACAAATTGCATGTTGTTCCTACTGGAGTATTTGTCATGAATATTTTGCTTGGTGTGATTATTGACGCACAATCTTTTTGCACTAAAAGCACGAAAAATAATCCCCGCAAAAATAACTACGATTACAGTAGTGTAATTATGAAATTTATACCCTGATGTGCTTGACGCCTTATCAACACCTGAACATGCATACCTTTTGAGATATTTGCATAGCTTTTGAGATATTACTTCTTTGCGTGTGCATTCCTGTATGCTAGGGTGTGATGGCCTGTTTGGACCAGAATTTGAAAAATTGCCCTTGGATTCAGCTGGTTCTTAAGTTATGTTGATGTGTGTATGTTGTTTTGTTTTGTGTTGCAGTATGCTTGTTTCTTAATGTGTGTACATACTTCAAAATATCCCAGTAAGCTCCACAGAGTTCTTGGATGGAAAACTTTAGCAACTAACAGAATTGGGGTTTTCATGCCTGCTGGCTTGGTTGATGCATGTTATTGTATCCCAATTACAGGGAAAGAAACCTTTAAAAAATTCCCTCTAGACCACAGGACCAGTCAGTGGACAATAATTAGTGGTCCTGTCTGTACATCACTGGTCCAAAATG